GGGCTGGGTTCCAGGGGAGGTTGCTTAGAGAGAAGAGGTAGGTCTCAGCACATGACTCTGGAACATGGACTCTGGAAGCGGGTTCTGTGTGTCTTTCTCAGCCTTTGAGAGCCTCGGTACCTGGATATGTGTGTGAGGTCATGTGTGTCTGTCAGTATTTGCGGGTGTCCAGGCTCCCTGAATGCCTTTGTGCTAAAATGTTGTGTGCGTGCGTGCCAGCAGGTGTGTGCGCCCGGATGTGTGGTGCGCACACGCTCTGGGGAATGCTTTTTGGGTGAGATGTGAGCGAGTGCAGTGTCTGTGTGACTCATTTCTCTGCTCCTCCTTCTGTTCCCGGCCAGGCGGGGGAGGCTGGGATTCCAGGCCTGGGCCTAGCTCTGCCTGGCACAGAGGGTGGGAGTGGGGCCAGGGTAGCAGGCACGCGGGAGCACAGGGAGGAGGGGCTGTGTTTTGTGCTCGCTGAGCCAGGAAGGGGGTAAGGTTCCTGTGGGAGCCACCTGGGCCCCCGGACCCCCTGACCAATCATTTCCCAGGACCCATCCCAGTTGGGGGGCAGGGGTAGGGCCACTGGAGTGTACAATGACAAACATAGCAGTCCATCTCCACACTGGGATTCCCCACCTCCCTTCTCCTCCGCAGCCTCCTCCCCCAAGGGCCTCCCAGTCTTCTGGGTGTTGTCCAGGACTGAGGGGGTTCCCAGGACTTGGACTTTCAGTTTTAAAAGCAAGACAATGCAGGGGAGACCAGAAGGAGTTGCTTACCCTACTCAGCATCTCCCAGCGGGGCGTCTTCCTCTCTGGGGTCCATCCTTACACTTTGCAAAGCCGGCAGGTGAGCCTTTTAAAATGCAGATAGGAGCAGGTAACTCAGCTGCTTACAACTTTAGGGTAAGCCCAGATTGCGCCACCAGGCCCCAAGGCCCGGCCTCCCTGTGCCCCTACCTCACCCCCTCGGCTCTCCCCTTAGCTCCCTACCTTCTGTGCGGCCATAGGGCATCATGCCCGGCCCCAAGCAGGTGTTGACTAACAGTCTCTCTGGAACCCAACAGCCCCCCATCCTAGTCTATGAAGCCACCTGGTCCTCCAGGAGGCGCTTCTTCCAAGAAGCCTTCCCTGACTCCCAATCCCCCAGGCCAAGATCCTGGCTCCTGCTTTCCCAGAATCCAGGACTTTCTCATTGTTGAGCTTATCAACATGAAAAACCAGTCCTCCCGTAGTTAACACTGACTCAACACCCATCTCCTGGCTAGATGCTCGTGAGCCCAAGGGAGCAGGGATGTCGGTCTTGTTTCTATCCTGTTGCCACCGCGAGCGTAAGAAACTCCTTCTCCGCGTGGACCCTCACCTTCGGCTGCTTGTAACTGGAACTGGTTTGAGGAGGCTCGACTCGGCCTCTTTCGCCCTCCCTCTCGGTGACCTGCCTCTGTCCGTGTCTCGCCCGT